CATTTTCTTCTCCATAGATGTGCCTCCTAACACCATCTACTAAATTAGCCTTCTGTTGCCATTAATCTGTGATGTGCCGTAAATATTCCATGCACGCCCCTGTGCACCAGGTTTCTGCACATCTTACTGGGTCTCATTGGCATATTGCATATTCTTGGGCCATGCTCTCACTTTCTTATTTCTGTACTTATGCAGGAGATCACCAGCCAGCAGGGTGAACACCATTCCTTTTCTTTTACAAAACTACCTTAACTCTATGAAATTTGCTTTTAGTATTAGGAAGTATGTGTTTTTTGTAATTTAAAAAGTAAGTAACATTAAATGTACATTATTAATATAAATTAAATAGGTACAACTTTTTACATGTCGACCAACAAAGCGGTTTTAAAAGTAATGTATAATCGTTGAATATTTGTAAAAAATACAATTTAAGATCTCCCCTATGTGTCTTCACTCCATATCCCATTCACTGCCCAGGGTCGCCAACGACCCTTCACAGCTTCCCTCTCCCTCTCTCCCTTCCCCTCCACCCTCCATCACCCCATGGTTTATCCATTCAATATTTTTAAAAACACAGACATTATTTTCTACCTGCTGTTCTGTAACTTGCTTTGCTTTGCTGGGTTTTAATTTTGCACTATGTAATCCTGCGATTAGAGTCCATGTGGATGTGCTTCTGTGATTTTAGAAGTTTTACACCATTGTATCCTCTGAAAAAAAACAGTTTTTTGGCCGTTCTCCTTTTGACAGTCATTTGGATGACTCTCCAATCTTTGGTCATCACGGATGTTGCCTGTTCATATACCCTTGGCCACTCATGAGAGAAGTTTTCAAGTTAATAGCAGAATTAGAACAAATTGGCTCCTTCGTGGCGCTTGGATAGGATGAAGCAGGGGAGCTACGTATGTAAGGCCCTTCCATTGTCCATGGTGGGGAAACTGGCATTTGTCCAAGTTACATAAGCGAAAAATGACCTGAACTCAAAGCCGAATCTCAGCTTCAAGCTTCTCACCAGGCTGTCTTCTCACTTCAACAAACATCAGGGCAGGGGGGGTTTATGGTAAACTTTCAACAGGCCATTTTCCTCTTCTCCAAAAAGTGTGTCTCTGTCTTCATCCAGTGATTACTGACCTTAAAGCTGTCTGCTTCGAGGAACAAAAACAACTTCTAGAAAATAGCAAATACAAACTTCCAATAAGAAAAGTTTAATCTAGAAATATATTATTTAAAATAACTTTTTTGGCCGGGCACAGTGGCTCATGCCTGTAATCCCAGCACTTTAGGAGGCCGAGACGGGTTGATCACAAGGTCAAGAGATCGAGACCATCCTGGTCAACATGGTGAAACCCTGTCTCTACTAAAAATACAAAAATTAGCTGGGCATGGTGGCGTGTGCCTATAGTCCCAGCTACTCAGGAGGCTGAGGCAGGAGAATTGCCTGAACCCAGGAGGCGGAGGTTGCAGTGAGCCGAGATGATGCCATTGCACTCCAGCCTGGATAACAAGAGCAAAACTCCGTCTCAAAATAAATAAATATATAAAATAAAATAACTTTTTTTGGTTAAAAGATATATATCTATGTGCACACACATACATATGAAAGAAAATTCCTTTACACATTTGGAATGTGAAAAGATTTCTAAGTTATTTCCTAAAATTCAAAAGTCATAAAAGATGAGATTAATAAGTCTTAATTAATAACATGGAAATTTTTCTAAACCTTCAAGGCAAGAAAAATGTCATATGTAAAAGTCAACAGACAAAACAGCAACTGAGAAAGACTATCCTTAGTTTATATCACAAAGGACTGAGCTTCCTAACATATAAGACCAAATTGATTAAGAAGAAAAATAATTCAACAGTTTGAAAAATAAATTGGCAAAAAGTATGAATAAAAACTTTGCCAAAAAAGATATACCAATGGCTCCTGAGTATATGAACAGAGGCTCAAGCTTGTTCATAGTGATCACAAGCAGATCAAAGTGAACAGGTGTGCGTAATCTGTGGCACTGGTAAAAACCACAGGCGCTGCCCCTGGGAGGTGTGCAGACCACAGGCGTGCTCACAGGTGCGCTCGTGCTGTCCCGGCGCCTGTGGAGCTGCCGCAGACTCCGTGGTGGGCTATTCATAGTTTCTCTCACGTTTGCAAGGGCATATCCCCTTTGAGAATTTCACTTTAGGATTTTTTTTTTATTAGATAGACTTCCTCACGTGTGAAATGTTTACACAATCAGTTTTCATTGTTGAAGAATTTATAATAGCCAAAGACTGGAAACAACCTACATGTTCATCCACTGAGGGCGAATGAATGACACACTGTCACTCTCAGAGGCAACTGTTTTCAGCTCTTGCTACTATTTCTTCTGCTGGTTCTCTCCATATTTCTAAATAGCACGCCTTGTCCTGTTTCCCATCTTTCTCCATTAGTGTGTTTGCTCTACATGTTTAGTGAGCAGATTTTTAAAGAGAGTTTTAATTATAAATTGCTAGCTAATTTTATCAAATGTACTGCACTTCTTGAGAGAAGCACAACTTTTCCTCTTTAGTTCATTAATGTGATATATTAAATTGTTGTTTTCTGATGTAAAACCATCGTGATAGCTCTCGACACACCGTACTCAATCATGGTGTATTTTAAAATTAATTTTAACGAGTCTGAAAGTTGATGGACTCATTTACCAATAGATGTGTGTTCATCAGTCAAACTGATCTATACATATCTTCCCTTATTCTGCATGTATTCAGTTAGACCAAGGTTAGGTTCACCTTACAAAACAGGTGGTCAGCTTTTGTCATTTCTCCTTTTCTGGGACATCTTGTATAAAACAAGGAATTGTCTGTCCCTTAGAAGTTAAGGAACCAGTAAGAAAGATCTCTGCAAAATCAATTTTAGACAAAAATTGACAAGGTCCAGAATAGTGTAGTACTCTATCCTTTTTATTGTGGTAAAATATACATAACGAAATTCACCATTTTAGCCACTTTTAAAGACCCAGGTTAATGGAATCCGGCACATTGACATCGTAGTGCAGGTGTCATTGCCGTCCGTCTCCAGAACTTTTGTGTCTTCCCAAAGTTAAACATTATACCCAGTAAACACTCACTCCCAATCCCCCCTCCCCAGCACCTGGGCAATTCCCCGTCCCCAGCACCTGGCAGCCGGCTTTGCTTCCTGTCTCTACCAATGTGACTCCTCCAGGAATCTCATACAAGAGAAGCCATTCAGGATCTGTCCTTCTGTGACTGGCCTATGCCATACAGCACAATGTCCTCGAGGTTTGCCTGTCGCAGCGGTCTTAAAGCAGATAACATTCCACTAAGCGCTCCCGCATTTTCCATATCCATTCACCCGGTGGACACTGGGGCTGGGCTGTCGCCATGTTTTGTCTGCTATGCGCTGTGTTGCTGAGAACACAGGTGTACAGATAACTGAGCTCCTGCCTGCCGTACTTCAAGGTGTCTACAATACACTGCCTTTTGGGTGTATGCCTCCCAAGTAGCTGGGATTACAGGCGCCACCACACCCAGCTAGTTTTGTATTTTTAGTAGAGACCGGGTTCCACCATGTTAGGCAGGCTGATCTCCAACTCCCGACCTCAGGTGAACTGCCCCGCCTCAGCCTCCCAAAGTGCTGGGATTACAGGGGTGACCCACCAGGCCCGGCCAGGTGCACTTAAAAAAAAAAAAGTACTGACTACATCACCTCAAAATATCAAAATATGCCACTTTTGAGTTAAAGGCACTTGAAGTCCGTAGATACAAGGACACCCGACCTTTCTTTTTCAACACGAAAGCAGATTGAGCCCCCCACCCCCGCGAAGGTGTGCACCCTGTACCAGGAGGAAAAACCACTATCATCAGAGGCGCCGAGGGGACTGTGTGGAAAGCAGCGCACCTGGTCAGACAGAAGACCTTACCTGCGTGGGTAACTCCACAGTTCCGGTGCCTTGTCGCGTTCTCACAATTTACTATGCTTTGTGCACCTTGGTGGGCGCGTGTTCAGCTGGAGCCGCTTCTTTGTGTTTTCATTTTCCCAAGGGGTTTCCCACGTGCATGGCAAGTCCCGGCTTTTCTCCTGTGAATCTGTCTTATGTCCACTGGATTCCGAGGCCCTGGGAGCCCCTGGTCTGGTGGAGGCGCGGTGCTGCCTGCGGTGCTGTGCGCGCTTCTCGGCCTGTCGCCGCGTCCCTGCCCGAGCTTCTGTCCCGAGGCTGCCTCGGTAGGGGCCTGCGGAGCGCGGGTGACCTCGGCCACAGCCTTGCCCGCACCCGCCCCGCTGCACCCCCGACGCAGCCCTGTCACCCGGTGCCTCCGCTGCCGCGCTTGGCCGGGGCCTCCGTGTTTCTGCGCCCAGAGCCGAAGGGCCGGAGAGAGGCGCGCGGGAAGCGCCCTGCCATCCCCGCGCAGCGCCAGAGACCGAGCCTGCCCCGGGCCGGGCGGTTTCCCTGCAGAGGCTGGGCCTGGGTCCGGCGCTCCGGGAGGCCTTTTACCCGCCCCTGGGCCTGCCCTACCCGGGGCCCGCGGGCACGAGGCTGCGGCGAGGACTGGCAGAGCCGCGGGCGCTGGACCCTGCGACTGCTGGGGGCCCCCGGGACAGCCGCCCCGCTCTGCCCGTAGCCTTGAGAATTAAACGCCGGCTCCCCTACAAAAAAAAAAAAAAAAAAAAAAAAATTCCTCGTCTCTGCCTCTCCACCCGCTTCCTCCTTTACATACGTCTATTCGAAATTCGAGTTAGGCACCCCCACACCGCGGGTCCCCCAACACGGCGGTGCCCCCCCACACGACAGCTGCCCCCACACATGGCAGTCCCCTCCACACGCTCGATGGCTCCCCCTTCACACACACAGCAGCTCCCCTCACACATACCAGCTACACACACACACACACACACACACACACGGCGGCTCCCCCCTCACACATGGCGGCTGCCTCCACACACGTGGCACCTCCTCCCGCACATGGCAGCTCCCCCGCCCCCAACGGCGCTCCCCACACACACTGGTCAGAGCCCCCCACAGAGAACTGGGGGGCGCCACTACTCTGGCAGCTTGGCTGGGGCCCCTAGTGAGGGTCAGGGCTCCCCCTCACCTGCTGGGGTGCCCGGAGTCCCCGCGGGGGTGAAGCCTCCGGGGAGAGTTGGGAGTTTCAGGCGGTTCTCTTGGGGCTTCTCCACCGGGTCCTCCGCAGGGGCCCTGGCCCTCCGCCTGCCCTCAGGCCTCCTCTTCGTCCCCGACCCCTACAGGCCTCCTGCCCTGGTCACCTACGCGTCCCTGACCGCGAGGCCAGGCGGCCTCTTGTCTAAAGTCCTCTGGAAAGAAGCATCCCCTGGGGAGGAGCTGGGGTTTCGTGCCCCCCACACACAGGGCGGCCCCACCCCTCGGCCTGCAGGGTCCCTGAATCCACCCGGCCCTAGCGGTCTCCTTCTGTTCCCGAAACTCCCGGGGTCCTGCGCTTTCTACACGGCTTTCCTGCTGGTTGGAGAAGTATCCCAGCGGCTCTGCTTCTCCGGTGACCATCGGTCGACGCGGCTGGAACCTAACCGTGCACGTGGGGTGGGTCCATCGTCAGCGTGGAGGTTCCCCCGACTACATGCTGGCCGTGCTCTCACTTCATCTTTGCCATGTACACGGGGGTGATGGGGGCATCTCAATGTGCTGCATTGAGCAATGGAAGCGAAGTGGCTTTATTAGTTTCTGTCACTGGGCTCCTTGCAGAGAGCCGAGCTGGCGCCCTGGGCCCCCTCCAGACTCCTGCGCCTTCCCCACCGTGTAGACGGGCCTCGGGGTGTCACGGGCTGTAGACCTTCTCCTGCATGTTTTCATCAATGTGTCCCCTCAAGTCACACAGCGGGGACATCAGACAAGTCCCTCCATCCTTCGTGCACGTTATGCTCAGGGGTCCCTGAGTTTATCCTTTTTCCGTTTTGGTTGACTGCGTGTGTCAGGGTACTGGACAATGCATTAGGAAGAGTGTTTCCTTAAAGACCAAGAGCTTTGAAAGAGTCAGAAGCAAGGAAACAGCAGAAGGAGGAAGGCGAGGTCCAGCCCGGGTCTCACTGGGTGGGACCGTGTCAAATGGGGCCTGTGGTCAACTCACTCTGTGTTCCCCTTCATCTCGCTTAGAATTCACACAAAATAGGCAAAGACTAGTCCATCCTGGCCTTTTCCAGAATCACTTGTAAGAAGTAATGAGCGGGTGATTGAAACGCAGGTGATAGCAGAGGTTCCATGTGAAGGCTTTGTAAGCCAGCGGAGTTTCTAAAGCCTCCGAGGAGAGCCAGGGTTCAGGCGGACCTCCGTTTTGCCTCCTCCGTTTGTCTGCATCCTACCAGGGATTTTGGTCATGAAGAATGTGCTTTGTAATGTCTTTAGGGCTTTTGTCACCCAGCATCACACCTGCCCTAAATGGTGCAGGTCCTTCCTGGGGCACCACTGCCTGAGCAGGGGCGGGATCAGCGCAGCTCCTGCCCTCAACTGCAGGACGGCCCGGCCACAGTCAGCCCCCAGTGCAACAGTGACACGCAGGCTCAGAGGAGTCGCCTGGACGCTGCTGGCCTTGCTGGTCACTGGAATTGCTGCCCTATGACCAGAGTTTTCAACTTGACATGTATTTCGATGAGGACTGTGAGGGGACAGGTTAGTAAGGGAGGTTCAGGGATGCAAATGTCGATGAACCAAACCCTCACTGAGAAATAGAACATTTCAGTGCTTTGCCTTGCAGCCATCTCAGATGGGCTCCTGGGGGCCCTGGCCCAGCTTCTCCTCTCTGTCGCAGGGCATGGCCAGCACCGACCCTGTCATCAGGAAGCCCTCTGTGTGCTGCGCACCGTCAGGGCACACTCTGCATCCCTGAAAGAGTCTCACAAGTCAGCTCCCAGCCAGGGTCTCTGGCACTGGAAAGTCTTCTTAGGAGGTGAGACCCTGGGGGAGCTGCGGGACCCCATGGAGGGACCTCCCCATAACTGAGGGCCTCATTCCGGGGCAGCAGGGGCACTTCTTGTGCTGAGGAAGTCCTTGGTGGAAGCACTTAGAGCGTCTGTTCAGCTTCTGGGCTTCCTTCTTTGAGGCACAAACTATTCCTGTTTACAGGCTTGTTTCCCGTCTCCACTTAAAGTAAACAAAAGATAAAGATAAACGCATCATCATAAAAGAGAGTAAGACACAACCGCAGGGAAAGGTCGAGTAGATAAGCACAATGTAATTACCTTATTTGTTAAAAATAAAACAGAACAAAAATTCCCAGAGTAGCCTTCTCTAACCCTAAAAGATGTAAGAGGGTCGTGGGCGGCTGTATGTATGTACAGAGCGCAAGCCGCGTCTACATGTTACATTTTCTAGGAGTCACATTAAAAGGTAAAAAGAAACACCCAAAATTAATTTTAATGGCATATTTAATGTTACCTGACATCATCATGTCTATGCGTAATTATTGGAAAACTTACAGATGAGGTGCTTTACTATTATTGTTAAGTCTTCCAGACCCACACTGTGCATTTCACTCCTGCAGTTTAGCTCAGCTTGGACTGACCCAATTCAAGTGCCCAATGGCCGTGCTTGGCTGCCAGTGGCAACCTCATGCGACAGCTCGGTTTCAGCATACAAGTAGAGGTTCACAGGTTGACATACTGGACTGAAAAGCCTCAGCACTAGTCAGAGGCACGGACTAGGGGGACAGCTATTAATGGGAGGAGGCAAGAGGCACTGGGGAAAAAGGGTATCAGTCCTCCTATGGGGCTGACTCAGCTATGCCCTGAAACCTATGGCAGCTCACACTTCCACCAGCAGAAAAGGAGGGAGCCTATTTCCTCAAACTATGGAGACAGTTGACAATCTGACTTTGCACGTGTAATTTTTATTTGTTTTCATAATCTGTAGAGCTAACAATCCTCTCTAGTTCATAGGTTATTATTATTCCTGCTTTTATACTTAAAAACAAATTATTAAATTAGAAGACTACTGTTTTAGTCTGTTTTCTGTTACTTATAACACAATCCCTAAAACAGGGTAATCTATGTTAGTCTATAAGGAAAAGGAATTTGTTTCTTACAGTTATGGAGGCTGTGAAGTCCAAGGCTGAGAGACTGCATCTGGTGAAGGCCATCTTGCTGGTAGGCATCTCTACCTGGTCCTGAGGTCATGCAGGGCATCACATGGTGAGGGGCTGAGCATACAAGCATGCTGGCTCAGGGCTCTCTTCCCCTTCTTATCAGCACGCCAGTTCCATTCCCATGGTAGCCCATTCATCTGTTCATTTATGAATTAATCCCTTCTTGAGAGCATAGCCCCCTGATGCGGTCACCTCCTGAAGGCCCCACCTCTCGGTTCTGCCATGTTGAGGGTTACGTTTCAGCATGAGTGCTGGAGGGATCATTCAAACCATAGCAACTACCATGGATGATTCATTCAAAATTAAGATGCTGAGGGTGGGAGACAGAGAGGAGAGAGAGAGGATATCAAGAGTGAGAGTGATGTGGGACATTAACCAGGACACCCGCTGACCGTGTCGGCACGCTGCCTTTCTGTTCCAGCCCCTCACCCCTCCCTCTACCCGCATGCTAAGCCGTGTGGCTGCGGGCTTTCCTTTACGAGAGTCAGAGTATATTTCTGGACCCACTGGTGTAGATTTTGGCTGTATGACTTGCTTTGGCCACCTAAGTACAGGTGGAGGTGAGTGGCCAGTTCTGAGGCCAGGCCTTAGATGTCTCACGTTTCTACTCACTGCTCTTGAATGTCTCCCACTGATGTGAAGTGGACATGGTCACAGGAGGAGAGACACAGGGGCAGTCTCCCTGCTGACCTGCAGCCCTGCAGCCTGAGGCTGTGCTGCCCTGAGCATGGTGGCTCATGCTTATGGTCCCAGGCCACTGAGTTTGGGCGGCTCGTTACAAAGCACAAATACAGCGATAGTTTAAGAGGCCACGTGCGGAGACTGGAGAGGTGACCGCCAGACGCAGGATACGGGAGAATGTGCCTACACTGAGGTCGGACTCGGGTCTCCACTTCAAAGGCTGAGGGGAATATTGGGCAACGATGTGCGTACAGGTGCAAACTGGCAAACGCTTCATGCCACGTTGAAGAAGATACTACAGTCCTCCAGTGGGAGTGAGGTAACTTTCAGAGGAAAGGTAGTCAGACTCACATGGGCGTCCTCACTGCACCATTAAATTTAGAAAGCAGTGATTATAGAGGTTTCAAGGGAGAACGTGGAGATATTAGAGGTTTACACTCAGCCTAACTATTGTTCAACTTTGCTTGTGAAAGATATTTTATCACCATAAACTTTTTCAAAATACAAAACAAAATTTTCAAAAAATTTATGAAACATACCACCCACACCAAAACTAAAAACTCCCCAAAGACGTAGAATTCAGCTCCAAAATTTCTTTTTCCACTTCCCAGCTTTTTCAAAAATATGTTCTGAGCAGCATGAGCCCCACCAGATGTTCATAAGCACAGGATTCGCTGGTCTAGGAGGGCCGGGAAGCATTCCCATGTCACCAGCGGTAACAGTTATGAGTACGCCACAGCCATTGCACCCCCGGATTCACTCCTCATTTAGTGTTCTCCACTGCTCCTCAGTGGAAGGACAGAAGGTGGCTATTGCCACCACCTCACAGAAGGAAAGTGAGCCATGAGGACGCTGAGCAGCTTGCCAAAGGTTGCGGAGTGAGTAGGTAACAAAGCTGGGTGCCCCAGCGCCCTGGTGTTCTGGGGCCGCCAGCACAGATTTCTGAGGCACCGCCATCCCCCAGACATCTGCACAGCCACGTGCATCCACACTTGCTATGGTCTTGTCTGTGTCAGCAAGAAACTCAAGTAGCCACAGACCAGGAAGAAGTGTCCATCTGCTGCCTCAGTCTCCCGGCACTTCCTCTCCTGCAGGGAGGTGCCCTTCCCGGCCCCTGTGTCTGAGTCTGCTGTGCTGCTGGCCCTAGGTCTCTGTGTCGTGGCTCCTAGGAAGAAGTGTGTGGTACCGGGGACGGGCAGTCACTCCCTACCCCTCCTGGATATAGGTTTGGGCCTGGGGTAGGCATGTATTGCAAGGTAAGGACCCAGGAGGCTTTTCCTGAATGTTATTTTAAAGAAAAGGGAAGAAGACTTTGCTTTTTGGGTTACACAATTTGAAGGCTGCGGATTGGGAATGCTGGAAGGCTAGCGGTCACCTCCTCTGAGAGGTGAAGGAATCCTGTCTGCTATAGGCAAGAACGAGACTGGTATAAAGAAGGAGGGAAGGAGAATAGAGGGGAGTGCAGAGAAGGGGAAGGAGAATAACAAGGAAAAGGTCAGGAAGAGGGGAGTGTGTGTCATCTCAAGCTGTTGTAACTAAATGCCACGGACTGGGTGGCGTAAACAGCATACATTTATTTTCTCGTGGTTCTAGAGACTGGAAGTCTGAGGCCAACATGCCCGCCAGTTTGGTCCCTGGTGCTCCTCCTGGCTTGTAGATGGCCCTGTCCACCAAGTGCTTGCCACGCTTTGAATGTCTCTGCCACATTTTGTGTGTTTGAAACTTAATCCCCAGTGCTGCAGTGTTGAGCAAGGGGATCTTTAAGAGGTGATCAGGCCATGAAAGCTCGGCCTTCGTGAATGGATAAATGCTGGTTATCTTTGGAGTATCGTGGGAGTGGGTTCCCCATAGAAGGATGAGTTCAGCCCCCTCCTTTGCACTCCCTCGGCCCTCCATCTTCTGCCACAGCCTGACACAGCATGAAGGCCTCACCAGATGCCAGCATCATGCCCTTAGAAACACGAACAGCATAAAAAGTGTCATATGAATTCACTCCGACAGCTATCTCCGGAGCCTTTTCTCACAAGGGCACTTATCGCGTCGGGAAGGTCCACCCTTCTCACTCATCTAAACCTAATTATCTCCCAAAGGCCTCCCACCAGATACCATCACACTGGGATTGGGACTTCAACAAATGAAGAAGGAGAGGGACACAAATGTTTAGCTCGTAACAGGAAAGGAAGGGCAAGGGGAAGGAAGAGAGGAAGAGAGCTCTAACAGCCTCATTTGAGTCCCTCTAACAACCTCAGTTGATCCCAGGGATCCAGTCACATCTGAAGCAAGAAATGTATTTTTGACATTTCTAGTTAAAAGCATCAGTAGACCCCCTTTTAATGTTAAACTGTATTGAGTAGATTTTTGATATTTACAATAGCTTTGATTAATTCATAACACAATCATCAAGTGTAATGAGAGGAATCTGTATAAACGGTTAGGAAAGGGACACACAGCATATTGTTTACAGGAAAAAGGAGGTTGCTGAGCAGCAGATACAGCATGATACTATTTAAGATGGAATGTGCCATATTTATATGTGTGCAAAATATCTGGAAATGAAGATAGAAACAGTGGTTACCTTCAGCATTGGGGATGATGGTGGCTATAGGGTTAGAAGAGCTGACCTTTACGTGTGTGTGTCTGTGTGTGTGGTGTGTGTGTGGTGTGTGTGTGGTGTGTCTGTGTGTGTCGTGTGTGTCGTGTGTGTGTGCATGTGGTATGTATGTGTGTGATGTGTGTGTGGGTGTGTGTTTAGGGGTGTGTGTGGTGTGTGTGTGTGGGTGTGTGTAGGGGTATGTGTGGGGTGTGTGTGTGGGTGTGTGTAGGGGTGTGTGTGGTGTGTGTGTGGCGTGTGTGTGTGGGGGTGTGTGTAGGGGTATGTGTGGGGTGTGTGTGTGGGGGTGTGTGTAGGGGTATGTGTGGTGTGTGTGTGGGGGTGTGTGTAGGGGTATGTGTGGTGTGTGTGTGTGGGTGTGTGTGTAGGGGTATGTGTGGTGTGTGTGTGTGTTTAGGGGTGTGTGTGGTGTGTGTGTGGGTGTGTGTTTAGGGGTGTGTGTGGTGTGTGTGTGGGTGTGTGTAGGGGTATGTGTGGTGTGTGTGGGGGTGTGTGTAGGGGTGTGTGTGGTGTGTGTGTGGTGTGTGTGTGGGTGTGTGTTTAGGGGTGTGTGTGGTGTGTGTGTGTGTAGGGGTATGTGTGGTGTGTGTGTGTGGGTGTGTGTGTAGGGGTGTGTGTGGTGTGTGTGTGTGGCGTGTGTGTGTGGGTGTGTGTGTAGGGGTATGTGTGGGGTGTGTGTGTGTGGGGGTGTGTGTAGGGGTATGTGTGGTGTGTGTGTGGGGGTGTGTGTGTAGGGGTATGTGTGGTGTGTGTGTGGGGGTGTGTGTGTAGGGGTGTGTGTGGTGTGTGTGTGGGGGTGTGTGTAGGGGTATGTGTGGGGTGTGTGTGTGGGGGTGTGTGTAGGGGTATGTGTGGTGTGTGTGTGGGGTGTGTGTGTAGTGGTATGTGTGGTGTGTGTGTGTGGGTGTGTGTGTAGGGGTGTGTGTGGTGTGTGTGTGGGTGTGTGTGTAGGGGTATGTGTGGGGTGTGTGTGTGGGTGTGTGTGTAGGGGTGTGTGTGGTGTGTGTGTAGGGGTATGTGTGGGGTGTGTGTGTGGGTGTGTGTGTAGGGGTGTGTGTGGTGTGTGTGTGTGGCGTGTGTGTGGGGGTGTGTGTAGGGGTATGTGTGGGGTGTGTGTGTTTGGGGGTGTGTGTAGGGGTATGTGGGGTGTGTGTGTGTGGGGGTGTGTAGGGGTATGTGTGGCATGTGTGTGTGGGGGTGTGTGTAGGGGTGTGTGTGGTGTGTGTGTGGCGTGTGTGTGTAGGGGTATGTGTGGGGTGTGTGTGTGGGTGTGTGTGTAGGGGTGTGTGTGGTGTGTGTGTGTAGGGGTATGTGTGGGGTGTGTGTGGTGTGTGTGTAGGGGTATGTGTGGGGTGTGTGTGTGGGTGTGTGTGTAGGGGTGTGTGTAGGGGTGTGTGTGTGTGGGGTGTGTGTGGGGGTGTGTGTAGGGGTATGTGTGGGGTGTGTGTTTGTGGGGGTGTGTGTAGGGGTATGTGTGGTGTGTGCGTGTGGGGGTGTGTGTAGGGGTATGTGTGGTGTGTGTGTGGGTGTGTGTGTAGGGGTGTGTGTGGTGTGTGTGTGTGTGGCATGTGTGTGTGTGTGGGGGGTGTTTGGTTTTCTGTTTTGGTTTGTTTTAGAGACAGAGTCTCACTCTGTTGCGCGGGCTGGAATGCACTGGTAGGATCTCAGCTCACTGCAGCCTCAAACTCTTGGGCTCAAACAATTCTCCAGCTTCAGGCTCCTGAGTAGCTGGGATTGCAGGTACGTGCCTCCATGGCTGGCTAGTTTTTGTTATTTTATTTTATTTTTTGTAGAGACAGGTCTCACTGTGCTACCCAGGCTGGTCTGAAATTCCTGGGTTCAAGTGATCCTCCCACCTTGGCCTCTCACTGTGCTGGGATTACAAGTCTGAGTCTCTGTGCCCAGCCGCTATCTATGTGACTTGATTATTTTAAGCATGAATGATTATAATTTATAATAAAAATAATGAAAATGCACCTTTCATTTTGAAAAAAGTTGTTTTATCTGGAAAGTTTTCT